CCCCCCCCCCCTTTCTCCCCCACCATCCATCCCTCACTACCCCCCCCCTCCCCTCCCCCCCCTTCCCCGCCCACCGCCCTCCCCCTCCGCCTCCTCTCTCACGGCCGATCGCCTCCCACAGACCTCCACCCAGCCACCCAGCCACCCGCCAAGCCCCTCCCCCGCCCTAGCACCCCTCCCCCGCCCCAGTCCCCCTCCCCCGCCCGCAGGTCGAGCGCGACTTCCTCGCCCTCGCGGAGCGGGACGGCCTCTCCGACGGCACCACCGCCGTCGTGGCCCTCGTCGAGCCGACGGCATCCTCACCGCCACCCACTCTCTCCTCCTCGCCACCCCTCCTCCTCCTCCGCCACCCGTCGTCCAGCCGCGCGCCGAGACGTCCGCGCCACGCCACAGGTGCTCACCGTGGCCCACGTCGGCGACTCGCGGGGCGTGCTCTGCCGAGGGGGGGCGGCGGTGCCAATCACGGACGACCACAAGCCGGAGGTTGCGAGCTCTAAGCCGAGATTGAGCCGAGATCGAGGACGGCCACGGCTGCGCCCGAGGAGGGGGGAGGCGGCCTGCAGCTGGGGGAGCGGGCGGGCGAGCTTGCTGCTTGTGTGTGCCGCGATAGGTTGCGGCAGAGCGGCGGAGGATCGAGGCGCTTGGCGGGTTCGTGTCGTACATCGGCGCGCGCAGTCGCCCGGCCCTCCTTTCGCTCGCCCCTCTCGCCAGCTGACTTGCGCGGGATCCTGCGTGTGCTGTCAGGCTGCTGGCGCGCGATGGGGATCCTCGCAATGTCGCGCGCCATCGGGGACTTGTTCCTCAAGCCATACGTGTCGGCAGTGCCTGACGTGAAGGCGAGGCAGACCCCACGCCGCGGGACAGCCCTCGCCCACCAGCCGCGGGCCCGACTTGAGAGAGAGCTCGGACAGAGCTCGGACACCGCACGCTCCACCTCGGTCGCGCCTCACGGGCGCCGTGCCCGCGAAGGCGCTGCCGCTCGAGGAGAGCGACGAGTTTGTCGTCCTCGCGTCGGACGGGCTCTTCGACGTCTTCGACAACGAGCAGGTGGTGCGTATCGTGCGCGCTGCCGACGACCCGCAGGTGTCCGAGACACGCCCGAAGCGCCGCGGCACCGACCTCGCGTCCGCCGGACTCCCTCCCTGACGTCCTCTCCCCCCTCCCCCCCGACACTCTCTGCAGCACGCCGCCTCGCTCCTCACGAAGAGCGCCCTCGCCGCCGGCTCGCTCGACAACATCACCGCCATCGTCGTCGCCTTGCGAGGCTACCGGCCGCGCCAAATCGACGCCCACTCCCCCGCGGAGCTCGCCACCGCCACCGCCGCGCAGCCTCGCGCCGCCGCCGCCGCCGCAGTTGCCGCCGCCACCGCCGCCACGCACGCCGCGAGCGCCTCTGCCTCCGCCGCCTCCACCGCAGCTGCCTCAACCGCCTCCGCTGCCGCCGCTGCCGGCGCCGCCGCTGCTTCCGCCCTGTGCTCGGCGACGGCGCTGGGGGGAGCCCGCTCCGTCGCGTCGTTCGGACCCCCGGTCCCGACGTCGCACTGGCAGCGGACGTTCGACGCGTGGCACGCGGCGTTCGTAGCCGTAGAGGGCTGCTGAGGGGCGGGCCGGGCCGTTGCCGCCGCAGTCGTCGTTGCGGCGGGGCGAGCGGTGGCCGCTGGCGTCGGAGGGGTGCGCGCTCCTCTCGGGGAGGCGGCGGGCCGCGCAGGAGGGGACGATGAAGCGAGGAGACGGCGCCGTGCGGAGGGCAATTGGTGACATGAGAGGCAGAGGGTGAGAGGCGATGACGTGTGGCAGGGAGAGAGCGGCGCATTTTGCAGAGCGCAGAGGGTGGCACCTCCTCTTGGGGAGATGCCGCTCCCGCTGACCTCTTCCAGAAAAAAGAAGTTGACAAGGAATGGATCGCGCGTGACACTTCCAACATCTTTGACACTTGACTGGGCGCCGAAATTGCAGCGCCAGCGGTACCGGCCGGCACGGCGCACGGCGGTCATGGGTAGTATGCCATGCGCAGCGTTTGCGGGCTGCACGGCGGTCATGGCGCAGAAGAAGCTCACGGTGGGTGGACGCCAAATTACTGTCACGGCTGCTGGGCACGTCTCATTGCCCGAGGGCATGACAACGGTGCCGCGAGGGGCCTTTCGCCGCCACACCTCGATCGTCTCGGTCACTTGCCCACGCAGTCTCGTCGCAATTGACAGCGAGGCGTTCCTCGGATGCGCCTCGCTTACCGCAATCCACCTGCCTAGCAGGCTCGCCTCCATCGGCGACTGCGCCTTCTTTCAATGCTCGGCGCTCGTCCGAGTCGCCGTCCCCACCACTGTCAAAACTGTTGGAGCGGCCGCATTCCTCGGCTGCTCCTCACTCGCGTCCATTCAGTTCCACCACCCAGCCAGCCTGGCAACAATCGGCGCTGCCGCATTCCTCGGCTGCGGCTCCCTCACAGCCGTTGCCCTTCCCGCCTCGACCGCCTCCCTTGACACCGCCGCCTTTGCCGGCTGCCGCGCCCTAGCCAAAGCCACCTTCCCCCCCGGCATCACGTCCGTCGGATTCGGCTCTTTTCGACTCACCTCCCTTTCTCAAGTCGCCCTACCGACGACCGCCGAGATCCGCGACGCCTTCCCCGCCTCAACCGCCGTCAACCGCATCGCGCCCGCGCGCATGCGGGCCCAGGACCGGCTCCTCTTCCTCTACAACGGCGTGCTTGCCTATAAGCGCTGCCGACCCGGCCTTGTGAATTGGCTAGAGCGGGTCCAGATCACGCAAGGTGCTTACGGCCCGGACGGCGCGGCGCGCAAGCGCGACCGCGACGCTTTTGAGAGCGACTTTGGCCCCTCGCCGCGGTCCGATCCGCCTCCTCCAACCCCCGCCGCCGCAATCAGCTCGGAGGTGAGCTCTCTGTGAGGTTGATGCGTGGCATCTCGCGCTTGCTGGGGCGCGACGGGCGCGCCATCAACGGTTGCAACAATAAAAAAGAAATATTCACAGCATGCCACTAAATGACGGGGGTTATTTTTCTCTCTTCTTTGTGCGGGCGAAGGTGCGCTGCTGAGTGCTGTGGCGAGCCCGCTGATAAAGTGCCTGGTGTTTCTTCGCCTACGTACTAGTAGAGCGCACTAAGGGTGAAGAGAACATTCTTTTCTGCACCTCTATGATTGCGAGCAGCCTCGCTCGCAATCCTAGTGAAAGTCGAAGGGTTGTGAGCAGCACTCCTCGCACGCAAGCCCCCCAGCACCTCTGTACGACTGCGAGCACCCACACTGTCTCGCAATCCTTTACTTTCTTGTACGGACTACGAGCTCTGCCACAATGTGACTGGTGACGGCCTATACGACTACCAACGCGCTCACACACAATCCGAGCAAAGTCTAGGGGTTGCAATCAGCACTGCTCGCAATCCTAGCTGCTAGCAACAACGCCTCCGATCCGTGTGAGCAGTAGGCTAGCGCTCACAATTCTTGACTGCTAGAGAGAGAGGGGCGAGGGACCTCCGCTCCGTGATCTCTTACAGGCGCGAGCTCGATCGCTCGCAATCGCAGAAGTTCTAGGAGTGTGAGCGCTACTGCTCACACGTCGGAACAGAACAAAGCGTGAACAGGGCATGGTGTGAGAAGTAAAAACCCGTTCAGAGCTCAATTCGCTCTCACGTGGCAACCCTGTTGGCATGGTCTCGCGCGCGAACAGGGCACGAACCTTTGTTTGCCAGGGCTCCAGGCCCCAAAGAATGTGTGAGTGTATTGCGAATTATAAGCCAATAATGGGGCAAGCAAGCTGTGAATACATTGGGATATACTGCTGTATATTGCAATACATTGCGGAAGGATTGAGGTGCTTGGCGGCGCCGAGATATACTCCAATATATCCCAGTATTCGGCTGGAAGATGTTCCTCCAATATCTCCGTATATTGCGTAATAGTGCGCAATATGGGAATATATTCCAGGGGTGCAATATACCCCAGTATATCCCAATATATTCACAGCGGACTGCTATTTGTCAGTATTCTCTTAGACAAACAAGCCTTCTCTCACAGCAGACGGCACAACAAGGGCGCGGACTGGCGCAGACTGGCACACACACCAGCACACCAGAGTGTTAGAGTTGTTTGGTGTATTGCTAACAATCTCTCAGGCTGCTCTGGAGGTGCAAAAAAGAAGTTTAATGGCGGACGGCCGAGCGTAACGGTTGATAAGTTACCATCATCGCCCACGGGCAAGGCCGGCACGCGGCCGTTGCCCTCGTCGCAGAGTGGGTGTGAGGGAACATGCCCGAGACTGTCCGTAGCGGCGATGTCCGCCGGAGTGCGCACAGCCTTCGAAGACCGACGCCGCGGCCTCTTCTCCCACGCCTGGTGCTGCTGCTGCCGCTGCTCGCAATCCACCGCGCCGATGCACAAGAAGGTGGTGTCTGTGCTGCCTCTCTCAATGTCAAGCCCGAGATCTGCGCCAATGCGCCTGGCGAGGAGTGCGACGCGATGAACGCCAATCTCATCACCCTCGGCGATGACGTACAAGTGAGCATCTGCCTCACGAGCAGCTCCACGTTGGTCGGCACCAATATTGGCGTCGGGGGAGTGCTGCAAACGGGGACTCGCTTCGAGGTGGCGCTCACGTGCAAGGTAGCCGCTCGCCCGAGAGAGGAAAACGAGGAAAGTCGAGGCTACCTGGGCTGCAGCCAATTGCGGTGGCGCCAGGAGAGCACTTTCCAGAGATGTGTCCAAGAAAGGCCACCGCACAACTTGACAAGCAATCGGCACACCTGCTGCCGCCATCACCCCTGCAGGACGGCTCTTGCTCGGCAATGCACGAGTCGGGTATCCTCGAGTACCTCGGATTCGAGCCTGCGGCGGGCGTGTCGTCGAATTTCTTGCTGCAGACGTACCCGGGATGCACTGACGGCCAGGCGGCCTCCCTCTCTTAGTCTAGCGCCTCATATTGACCACTCTCACCCCTCTCTCCTCCCAACCTTTACCCTCGCTCTTACTCTTATCCTCGCCTTCGCTCCCTCTAGCCCACAGACATCGCTCCCAGTCTCGACCTGCCTCACTGTCTCCCATACCCCTTCAGGCGTGTGGGTACCTGACGGTGAGCCAGGAGGTTGAGGTTACTGAGGATAGCACGAGGTGCGTGGGGACGATCAAGGCGCGGGCGGCGCGCTTCACCACCACGAATAATGGCCTCTTCTACGTTCGCGCGGCCACCGCGCCCGAGACACCGTTCCTCATCACCGACGAGCTCTGCATCCCGGGTCTGACCGCTTCGGGCGCAGGCACAACCACCGCCTTAATCGCACCCCCATCGCCGATGCCGCTGCCCCCATCGCCGCCGTCGCCACCGCCACCATCTCCTCCTTCGCCGCCTCCACCGCCTCCTCCGCCGCCGCCGTCACCGCCGCCGCCGCCACCGCCGTCGCCGCCGCCTCCTCGACCTCCAACGCCGGCACCGCCTCCACCACCGTCACCGCCGCCCCCATCGCCGCCGCCCCCGTCTCCGATACCGCCGCCCCCATCGCCGGCCCCGTCGCCACCGCCGCAGCCGCCCCCTCCAACCCCAGTATCGCCGTCGCCGCTGCCACCCCAGCCGAATCCGCCGCCGCCACCCTCGCCGCCGCCGCCGAGCCCCCAACCCTCGCCGCCGCCGCCCTCGCCACCTCCGCAGCCGGCAGCACCTCCGGAGCCCTCGCCACCTCCGCCGCCCTCGCCGCCGCCGCCAAGTCCGCCGCCCTCGCCGCCGCCGCCGCCACCCTTCCCCTCACCACCGGCGCCGCCATCGCCCCCGCCTCCGCCGCCGCCGATGCCGCCTCCGTTCCCGCCACCATCGCCTCCCCCTTCAGGCCCCCCTCCGTCGCCTCCCCCAGGGCCCCCACCATTTCCCCCGCCAAGCCCTCGCCCACCGCCCTTCCCTCCACCCTTTCCCCCGCCGTTTCCTCCTCCGCCGTCCCCCCCACAACCACCGGCGTCGCCGCCCTCGCCGCCCGCGGCGCCTCTCCCCCCCTTTCCGCCGTCACCGTTGCAGCCCCCGTGCGAGGGCGGTGGTGCGACTATCCACCTCGTGTACGGCGTGCCTGTTGCAAGCGCTCGCCGGAGGCTGCAGGAGGGCGTGGTCGATGATGCACGGGAGGTGTTCCAGGCGGAAATGACGCATGGAGTCAGGGTGCTCGCCAGGTTGGACGCCGCGGAGGCGCACAGAGAGCCTCTTGTGGTAGGTAGATGACTTTCGACACGCACCCCCCGACGACTCTTCCGAATTGCGCCTAGGCGGCGAGGATGCTGCGACTGGAATACGTCTTTGGGAGCACCTTCACGCTCGTGTCGATTTACGCGCCGTCGCACGTCGGCCAGGCGCTCGTTGGCGGCGACGGCGCGGAGCTATGCGAGGACTTTGTGAGCGGCGGGCCATGAGGCATGATCAATTCGTATACGCGTGACATGATTGCGGATAGGTGAGTACTTTCGGCCGCAGCGGCTCGAGAGGGTGGAGCTCGGTGGCGGTGGCGAGGACGAGAGCTTTGTCTGCCCGGCCACCCTCCACTCCTCGGTGCGCTGCCTCCCCCTAAGCCCTAGCCCTTGCCCTAGCCCCCGCCCCAGCCCCAGCCCTAGACCCTTCCCCCACCCCGGCCCTAGCATACACACTCCTTCTGGACCAAGAGGACTTTACTAGGTGACTTGGGTCTTGGTCGATGCCGAGGTAGCTTGCTCGCTGCGGTGGCTTATGTGCGCCACTAGATGTTTCATCCGTGGACGCTGTCGGGGTGGGGTCCCGATCCGATTGTGCAGCCACATCGAGGGTCTAGGCGGTTTTGCAATCTTCTACATGGGGTCTCCAACCCTGTACTCCGCATCTAGGTTTGCGCTACTGGTCGTTGGCCTCCTCCTCCTCCTTCTGGCGTGCCTCTATGGCGGCTGGGTCGTCGTGGGGGAGCGCGAGGACTGGCGCCGTGGCACGGGCCAGCATCTTCACGCTAGACCAGGCGAGGGCAGCTACCACGGGAAGGTCCCGCCGCCGCCGCCGCCGCCCGTGGCGGCGGTGAAGCCCACGCCACCCACGGTGACGGAGAGGCGGCCTCCGCGGCGGATCCCGCGGCGCGGGCTGGTTGATCCGGTGCGGCCGATCACTGTACCCCGCTATGACTCGGTGCCTCGGCTGGAGCTCGGCTTCACCTCGTCCACAGGTGGCAGAGCACCTCGAGAATGCGGACGAGGACATCCAGGTGGCCTTTGCACGCTTGAGAGGCAGACCACGGACCTCGAGTGACTTAGGACGCTCGGCCATGTGCGCACGCGTAGGACCTCCAAGCCATCACCGTCAGCGTCACCCCGGGCAGCGAGGGGGCGAACCGCCGCGGAGCAGACCCTTTCCCTCTCGGTGCTGGAGCACGAGAGCCGGCCAGGCCCACCCCGCCGTCAGACGCAGGCTACTGGGCGGGATGGCGCGACGTGCGGGTGCAGGCGGCGGCCCTGCTCATCGCGCTGATACTCGCCCTGCTCGCCATTATCTTTGCCGTCTCAGGGGTGGCGGCGCCTCCTGGGGCCGCAAGCCGCCTCCCGACGGACACACCCTTGACGTCCTTCCTGCCCGCTCTAGGTGGCGCTCCTCGACGACGACGGGACACTGTGCGCTACGGCCTGGTAACGGGAGCCGCCCTACTGTGTAACACCATGCATGCACTGTTTTTCCACCACGTCGCGCGCTCTCTGCACTGGAGGAAGACTCGCCGGCGGCTTGAGGCGACGGAGTCGGCTTCGTTCTTCGATCTTTGTGTAGGTATGTTGTTGGCAACGCAAGACACAGAGCTCACACAAAATCACAGTGGGTGGAAAGCGAACGAGTTACTTAACAGGGGTCGATTAGGGCGGGCCACCCTGTCCAGAGGCGGAGGTGCCTTTCGTTTGCATACTTTTCCCTTGCGTGCCGCGGTAATGAAAAGAAATGTGTGCGACTGCAACAAGGGACCGCTTGCAAGGGACCATTGGGCTTGTACTATTAACAACGAAGGCGCTCTCAAAAGAAATTAGTATAAGAGCGCGAGGTAAAAAAGAAATAGCCAGTTCTCCTCCTCATCTACCGACATGAGCCTCCTCCTCGGCCTGCAGTTCTTCTCGCGACCTCGTCGTCTCCGCTGGCTGCGCGTCATTACCGGCTTCGCGTGGTGCTGCGGTGGCACCCGCTCGCTCCGCGCGGGCTCCGGCCCCTCTCCTCGCGAGCCACCCGCGGCGGCAGCAGAGGCGCGGCTGGCCGTCGGTCCAGTCAGCGCGTCGGACATGGGCGCTCTCGAACGCCAGCTCGGCTACCGGCCGTACCCGCTCGCCGTCGGCGCGCGCTGCGTCCACGGCCACCCGCAGGCGTTTGTGTGGGACCCGCTCGCGCGCTTTCACGGTGGCCGTGCGCGGCGGGCGCCGCTCGACTCGGGCCTCTTCCGGCTGTCGTGCCCGCTGCTCGTGCAGGCGGTGGACCGGTGGGAGGCAGAGGGCGCCGTGCGCCAGCTCCAGGCGGAGGTGGACGAGGGGAGGGTGAGCGAGTGCTCGAGAGCCGACCTCGAGGAGGCCAACCGAAGGCATGCTCTCGCGCGGCGCGCACTCGTCGGGAATAGGCTCGAGGAGGCGCTGCAGCGGTCGCGTGAGGCGGACGCCGCCGCGCCGCCGCCGCCGCCGCCGCGCCGGAAGCGGACGGGCGCCGGCGCAAAGTCGGGCGCGCGGCCGCCGCGCGCCCTCTCGCGCGAAGAGCTTAGCGAGCTGGTGCTCAACAGCGGCGTCGCCGGCCAGAGCCCCTCGAAGCCCGAGGTGAAGTGCCTGCACGCGCAGCTCGCCGACCACCTGTGCCGCGACCACTCCAACCCTCTCGGCGAGGCGATCCTCTCGGGCGTCGCGGCGCGCGGCGTTGCGGTGCACGGCGACAGCCAATGCCACCAGCAGTGCGACTGCGGCGTGGCGCGCGAGGCAGCGACGTGGTGGTACACGCCCGTCAAAAACAAGCAAAAGCTGTTCACGCGGCTCGAGCGGAGGAAGCAGCGCCAGGTGGCGAGGCTGGAGGCGGCGGAGGAGGGCGGCGGCGGAGGTGAGGAGGAGGGGGGCAGTTTGAGTTAGTTCTGGCCAACAACGAAGAGACGTTTGTTTCTTTTTCGTACATGCACATGTGCATGTGCATGTGCATGCAGCGCCGGCTGTGAGGCTGCTGGAGCACTTGGAGCAAAGAAAGAACGAAAGAAAACAGACAACTAAGGGAGGGATGGGAGGAGCACTTGGAGTAAATAAAGAAAGAAAACAGACAAGACAAGGGAAGGATTAGAGAACTTGGAGTGCGGTCGGCAACCACACTGCGTGAGAAATTCTCGATACCCGGGTACGGTCCGGAAAACTCTCGGATGCGCGTCTTGCGCACCCTGCCCTTCCTGTCGCTTGCAGCGGCGATCCGCGTCCCACACGTCAACATGGGCCTCTTCGACGCGCTCACGAGCAAGGCCCCGCGCTACGGCCCGCCCGTCGTCATCGGCGAGGAGTCACTCATGTCTCAAAAGGCGCACGGAACGAGCGAAGTTCCCGTCCAGAAGGATTTGCGCTGGAACTGCGGCGCCGACCTCGCCGACCGGATCTGCAATTTCAACCGGCACTACGCGGAGAATGCCGGCTACTGGGAGCGCTCGACAACGTTCCTCAAGGAGGAGGAGGCCAACACCGAGGAGATCACGTTCTTCGACTCCAACAGCGGAGACCCGCTCTTCTACGGGCCCCGCGGCCGCACCTGGCAGAGCTTCGTCAAGGAGTCGCGCTCGCACGGCTGGCCCTCGTTCCGCGACGCCGAGGTCAACTGGGACTACGTGCGCGTGCTGCCCGACGGGGAGTGCGTCTCGACCGCGGGCACGCACCTCGGCCACAACCTGCCCGACGGCACTGGCAACCGCTACTGCATCAACCTTGTGAGCGTGGCCGGCCGCCCCGCCGACGGCCCCGTCGAGCGGCACATCGGCCCGAAGGCGTGAGAAAAGTCGGGTGAGCCGTGCGTCCGCGGCGCGCTGCAGATGCCTCAGGCGCCTCCGACAGTCGTGGCAGGCGCGCGGCGGCATGCTTAGCGCCAGCCTTCTTAGTTTAGTGTGTTTTTGCTTTGCATTATAATAAAACATGGGCGCCCAGGGCGTCGCTTCCCGGCGGCCACGTCGTGCGACTTAAACCCTGTCCCGACCACCCGAGGCGGGACAGTCGCCCCGCCAGTGCCCCGCCTCGGGCCGAGAGCCGGGAAGTCCCTCGGGATTGAGCGGCTCAGACGAGAGAGCGTGGGGTCCTCCGTTGTCTCGCCTTGTCTGCTTGTGGTCTCCGCGGGCTCCTTTTCTTTCTCCTCCGATGATGGGGTGAACACGAGTCACGACATGCTGCTGTGTACTCAGGAAGAACACAAACAATCCCAAGGAAGGGTGAGAACGGACGGAGAACGGACAGACAGCGACCTGGGCGAGCACATTGCTTTCCTCACACCCGGGCTCGCCTGTAGAGAGAGAGAGTTTTGACCGCGCAAGATAAACGAGGGTGGCTAAGGGCTCTCTCTGCCCGCAAGGCGCCCGCGTCGCCGACGCGGTACCATTGACTAATCCCGGAATACACACCCACACGACCAAATAGCGAAAATCCGAATACCGTGCAAAAACACGGAATCTCAACATGGGCGATCCAGCGCTTCCTTCGATTGGACGGACGAAATGATCCTCGGCCTGCCATGCGCGCGCGCGCCTCGCCCGAGTGCAGCCACCTGCGGACCTGGCCAGCCTCTTCCTGGCTCGTGCCCAGCCTCTCCTTCCGCTGCCGCCGGCCTCGCAGTTCCGACTGCCATCACGCTGCAGAGCCTGCGTAGACGCCACAGACGCCAATTCTGCAGCCCACAGCCCTGGCAACTGAGGGCGAGGGCCAGCAGTATACGACGACGACGACATCTCACACCCCGCGCTGGCCAGCGCCATCAGCCCCTCACGGCCCGGCCCAACCTCCCTTCGCCTCGCCTCCAGCGCCTCCAATCAAGTCGCACCTCTCTTCTTCAGCGAATGCAGCGGCAGCACCACGTCAGAGGCCGGGCCGACTGGCGGACCTGCATGCCCAGCCATGCCCCCCACTCCCCACCCGCTTGGATCGATCAGCTGACAGCTCCACCAGCTCCCACCACCGCGTGTCGTGCCTCATGAAGCATGACGTAGAATAGACATAGAAAGCACATGAACCATCGAAAGGTCTGGTCTCCAACAAGAGCTCTCGGCGGGCCGCGCGCGCCCGCGCCCCGCCCCTTTTGCGCAGCAACACCTTAAATTTCATGGCCCTCAAAAATCGGGTCGGATGTTGCGGAGATCAGCAGGAGGATGTACGACGAGATTAGGAGCAGCAGGGACCCGAGGGACCATGTGGAAGACGGCTAGTGCTAGTCCCCCATCGCGCATCGGGAGGACGACCCCGGCTAGTCGCCGACCACACCCACAAAGAACCCTGCACAAAGACCGCAGGGCGGGGACCTGTTCCTTTTTACCCATCTCCTAGTAGAGGTGTCCGTTTTGTTTATTTATTTGGGTCGGAGGCGGAGCGCAGCGCCAGCGGAGTGGGCCCCGATTTTAAAACGGCGACGGACGCTAGCCTCCAACAACGCCTCCCCGGCGCAGAGGGGGGCCCCCGAGGGATGCTCAACCGCCCACGCCACGTCGCTCTAAAAGAAACAAAACGGACAACCCAAGGGAGGGATGGGGAGGACGGCACGCCGCCACCACACAGGGATTTTAAGGAGAGGTGTGTGATGCGCTAGCCGTCGCCCACCCTAGGGAGTCTGCCTCTTCCTATCTCTCTTCGCAGTCTCTCGCCGCTTCTCGCTGCAACCTTCATGCCACCTCGCGGTCGTCCCACTCTCGTCGTTCTCTCCCTTGTCACTTCTTCCTCTGTCGCGTCGCTCTCTTCTGCCTCGTCCTGCGACGCCGCCGCCGCCTGCCGGTCCCTTGTTCTCGCGGCTTCTTGCGCCTTTCGGCGCAGCTCCGCCCTCCTCGCTGCATATCTTGGCCCCTCGAGTCTATCGAGCTCTCCTCGCGCCACGTCGCTTGTCGAAGGAGCACTTGGAGCACTTGGAGTGCAGTTATCAGCCTCACATCCAGGGCCGGGGAGCTGAGGAGCGCACCCAGCGGGCCGGATGATCGGGATCGGGTTGCGGGCAAGAGAGCCCTAGCCCTGGGGGGTGCGCGTTCGCAGGGCCATAACACGGGTCTCCGAGGGATAGTACCGCGCTCCGGGTTTCCCCTAGCAGCAGAACGCACCCTCTACTCGGAGCTAGTGGACACGACACTAAGCTACTGATACGAGAATACGTACCGCCCCCACGCAACTACTCGAAGATAATACGAGAATACGCAGCTGCGAGGCACAACATGACGCCAAACACACGATTGCACGCACCGCACCGCACCCCGCACCCCGCGCCCGCCGCCCCCCCGGCCCCCGCCCCGCCCAGGTGGGAAGGATATGAGGAGATGGAACAGCCCGAGGGAGAAGCGAACGAAAATACGTATGGGAGGTTGCAGTCGTGCACCACGCTGCCCGGCGTTTCTCACTTTCCGGGACAGCCCCGCCCTTGTGAGGCAGGAAAGTGGTGGCTACCCCGCACGCACTGTTGGGCTATAACCCCCTCGCCGACCGCCCATCCCCCCTCCCCTTCTCCAACCTCGACGAGCCGATGACCGTTGCCTCTGCCCTGCGTGCTCCCCCCCCCCCCCCCCCTCACACACACACACACACCGCCGCCGCCGCGCGAGCGCCGCGCGGCGGCACACCCAGCTCAAAAGAAAAAGAAAAAAAGGAATGAGGAGACCAGCGGGGGAGACTCCCCGCCTATGCAACACCCCAGAGAGGGGCTGCCATCGCCGAAGGGCACCTAGGGGCGAGTTCTGGTCAAAAGCAGCCGAAGAGGCAGCAAGAAGTACGAGCTGCGGGCGTGGGTTGGCGGCAAGCAAGGCTCCCTCGGCTATTTTGCCACCGCCGAGCAGGCGGCGCTCTTCTACGCCCGCAGGGAGGCGGGCAGGGACACTAGCGATCTCACCGCGCCGCCGCCGCCACCCGTGCCTTCCTCTCCCGCTGGCGCCGAGGCGATACGGCAGGCGGAGAGGGAGGCCCTGACCCTGGTCACCAGCAGCAACAACAGCACCGGCTACAAAGGCGTGAGCTTCTGCCCGAAGCGGGAAGGCAGCAAGAAGTACCTGCTGTCGGTGAAGGTTGGCGGCAAGCAAGTCAGCCTCGGCTCCTTCGCCACCGCTGAGCAGGCGGCGCTCTTCTACGCCCGCAGGGAGGCGGGCAGGGACACCAGCGATCTCACCGCGCCGCCGCCGCCGCCGCCGCCGCCGCCGCCGCCGCCGCCGCCGCCGCCCACCACCACCGCCGCTGGCGCAGAGGCGGTCCGGCAGGCGGGGAGGGAGGGCCTGACTCTAGTCACCAGCGGCAGCAGCAACAGCGGCTACAAAGGCGTGCTCTTCTACCCGAAGCAGCGACATACCAAGCAGTACAAGCTGCAGGTAACGACTGGAGGCAAGAAAGTCACCCTCGGCTACTTTGCCACCGCCGAGGAGGCGGCGCTGGCGCGCGCGCGGCACCTGTGGGACACGACCGTCCGCCTGCTCGAGCCGCAGCCGCAGCAAGCACCGCCGCAAGGCGCAGCAGGGCCGTCCGAGGCCACTACGAGGAGGAGGCCGGTGCGTCTCGTGGCGCCGGCGGCGAGGAGAGCGATGCGGACGAGGAGAGAGAGAGAGCGATCTCACCGCGCTATAGCATTATCGCGCACGTAGTAGCTTGGTACGAAGGTCGTACATATTCCTCGTGTGTGGCTGTGTGCCCTTCGGGTGCCCGGGCGCCGTGCTAGCGGTTATTATTCGTACTTTTTGATCAAAGTCGCAAAAAAAACTGGGGACGAGGTTGCTGTGCAGGTTGGAACAGCCAAAAAGAAAGAAAGAAAGAAAACAGACAACCCAAACGAGGGATGGGGGAGGAGGACAGGGTCCCCACCTGCACGAGCAGGATTTTGGAAGGACGATCAGGGGGACAGGTGGGGCTCTCCTGCTCCTGACAAGGGACACAGCCAAACAACTCTAGTTACGGCGCGTGTTTTTTCGTATCGTCAAAGAGCTGGGAGGGTTGGAGCTCACGCGTCCATGCTCACACCCAGCCCCGCCACGAATGAGCTCCCAGCAGCAAGCTACGCTCAGCTTCACGGCGTTGATTGAAGAACTCCGCCGCCGCAGCGCTCCTGACAAGCACGCCGCCATCGACGCTGTCGCCGTCGGAGCCGATCTCGCGGCTGTGCAGCGGCAGCTGGTGGACGTCGTCGGCCGCGACGTGGTCAACGCTGCGGTGCTGCACCTCGTTGGTGGCGCGCCGCAGCAGGGCTCTGCACCCGCGTCCGCCGCGCCAGCGGCAGTGGCAGGTGCCGCAGCAGGCGGTGCCGCCGGTGCTCCAGCGGTGCCAGAGGGCTCTGCGAGGCTGCCAGCGGGCATGTCGCAGGCGGACGTGGCGGCACTGAAGCGGGCGCTCTCGCACGCCGCCTCCTGCACCGCCGTCTCGGGCTGCCCCGACCCGGACTGCGCTCAGATGAAGGGGAAGCTCACCAAGCTCCGCGCCCACGCCGAGGCGTGCCGCACCGTGGGGTGTGTGCTCTGTCAGATCTGCCACTCCTCCGGCGCCATGCCGCCGCGGCACGAAGTCTGCCCGCCGTGCAGAGACCCCGCCTCAGCGACGGCCGGCGCCGAGTCTGCGCTCGCCAGCGGCGGTGGAGGCACCGCCGGCGATGGCGGCTCCACGAGTGCGGCAGCCGGCACGGGCGAGGCGAGCCGGCAGCGCGAGCAGCGGAGGGTGCTGCTGGCGCATGTCTTCAGCTGCATGCACCCGCAGTGCTCGTACCCGCAGTGCGCTCCCATGCGGCGCAAGCTCCACGCGCTGGTGAGAGCCGCCTCCACGACACTGAAGCGTTGATGACGCCCGTCAGCTGATGGGACACGCCCACGGTGCAGGTGCCACACACCAACGAGTGCGAGGAGCCGCACTGCTCGCTCTGCAAGATCTGGGCTGTCTACCAGCAGCACTTGTGCAAGGCGGCGGCGAGGCAGCAGGAGGAGGCGCTGCGCGCCGCTCTGGCGCGAGACACTTCCGAGACACTCCCGAGACACTTCCGAGACACTTCCGAGACACTTCCGAGACACTTCCCCATCCGACACCACACGCACGCCTCTGCCTGTCCGCGCCTCACGGTCGGTCCGCCGCGACCCGTCCATGGACGCGTCTCCGCGACACGTCCGCGCCACATGCATAGGCCACCTCCCCGGAGGGAGGGCTGCAGCTGGGCGGAGGGAGCGACGACGCGATGCGGCTCGCGCTTGGCGGCGGCCGCGGCGGCTCGTCTGGCTTTGGAGGCGCGCGCCGTGGGGGGATGGGGGGGGTTGTGTGTGGTGGGGGGGAAGCGCCGCACACGGTTGCCACGGGGCGCGACGTGGCCGCTGTAGGTGCGCTGTGGCAGGGCTTGCTGCCTCCGCACTCGGCGGCCTTCGACGGGTTTGGCGGAGGGAGGGAGCCTCGGCTGCCGGCGGCGGGCGAGGGGGCGGCGGGGGGGAGGCAGAAGCGGCAGCGCTCCAAGGGGGGCGACTCGCCGGGCCGGCAGCGCGTCAAGCCCGACCCCGCCTCTAGCCTCGACAGCTGGCTGAACTCCGGGCTGGCCGGCGGAGGCTTGGGCGGAGGGATTCCGCTGCAGCTCGGAGGGCAGCTCGGAGGGCTCGGCTTCGGCGGTTTGCCGGCGCAGGAGCCGGTGTGGATGGTCCGGACGGCGGCGCTGTTGGGCAGGGAGCCGCCGGCGGGTGCGCCGCAGTGGGTCGTCGCGCGGATGCTGCAGGAGCGGCAGGGGCGGGCTCTGCTCCTGGCCGACCACTCGCCGCAGCTGCCTCTCAGCGCGGAGCCTCGCTGGGTCCCGTTTGCAAGCGCCGCGGGCGAGCCGCTCCTGCGACCGGTGGACCGGTCGCAGGGCGAGTTGGGCAGGCTGGGCCCGGCCGCAGCACCGGCGGTGCCCGAGCCGCCGCCGCTCGAGGTGGAGGCCGGCTGCCCTGTGGACGTGTCCGACCCCGCGGCGCCGTCAGGGTGGCGCACGGGCGAAGTCGTCTCGCGCACGTCCCGCACCGGGCTGTACACCGTCCAGCTCGGCCCCGACGCGCCGGCGGGTGGTCCGGCCGAGCCGGCGGGGCCCGGCTCGCCAAAGGCGACGGCACTGCTGCGCGGGCTGCGCGCGTCGCAGCTGCGGCTTCGCTGCGCGTTCGAGGGGTGCCGCAAGCACGCGCTGCTCATGCAGCGGCCGCCGTGTGACTGCGACAAGTGCGGCCGGCCGCTGCAGCACCCGATGCGCTCCTTTTGGGAGTTCCAGGCGGAGATGGCCGAGGCGGTGCAGGTGGGGGTCACCTCGGCGCAGCTCTGCTCGCACTGCTACAAGGAGGAGCGGCAGGGGACGGAGCGGCGCGGCGGCCGTGCCGCGCATTCTTCCCTCGCGACGGCGGTGGTGACGCTCGGCTCGCGGCAGGTGCCGCTGGCAGGCTTTGTCGAGGTCGAGATCAGGGGGCGGAGGCACCTCAACACGGAGCAGCCGGAGGACTCGGAGCAGCAGTCGTGGGTGCAGTGCGCCTCGTGCCGCCTCTGGCACCATTGGGTGTGCGCGCTCTACAACCCGAAGCTGCACGCCTACGCGCAGGGCGGAGGAGGCGAGGGCAGCGGCAGCAGGGGCGACGGCGGGGAGGGTGGCGGCGGCAGTGTAAAGGTGGAGCCAGGGGCGGCGGCAGGCAGCGGCGACGGCGACGGCGGCGGCGACGGAGGCGGTGGCAGCGGTGGTGGTTGCGGCGGCGGTGGCGAGGGCAGCAGCAGCGGAGTTGCCGACAGCAGCAGCGGCAGCGGCGACGGCGCCACTCGAGCCCAGGGAGAGGGCGGCGGCAGCGGCGGCGGCAGCGGCGGCGGCAGCGGCGGCGGCAGCGGCGGTGGCAGCGGCACGCCCCCGCCGTGGACGTGTCGCAAGTGCGCCGAGGCGTCCGCCGAGGCGCCGCCCGAGGCACCTCGCGAGGCGGACAAGCTGTCCGAGTGCTCTCTCTCGCGCGAGCTGCAGGAGGGCGTGAAGGCGGGGCTGGCGGAGGCGGGCGCGGTCTGCGAAGAGGTCGCGGTGCGCGTCGTCTCCTCGGTCAAGCTCACCGCCAAGGCCAAGGAGGAGATGGTCCAGCGAGAGTGGTCTTGCGGCGAGGCGGCGCTTAGCCGAGACTAGCCGAAGAGGAGCCGAGACGAGTCGAGATTGCGGGCGATTGCGCGGCGAGGCGGCCGGCCTCGGCCGGGAGTGTTTCGGGTGACGGTGAGTGCGACGAGCGCGACTGCGATAGGCGTACCCCTCCCGAAACACTGCGATAGGCGTACCCCTCACAGTTCCTAACCCTAACCCCAACCCTAACCCTAACCTGACTGCGATAGGCGTACCCCTCACAGTTCCTAACCCTAACCCCAACCCTAACCCTAACCTGACTGCGATAGGCGTACCCCTCACAGTTCCCGTACACCTCCCGCTGCATCGTCGCGTTGCAGCGCGTCGAAGGGCGCGCTTCGCTGTGACGCCCTGGACGAGGGTGGTTGCGTGCGGGCGTCTGCACCGGGGGGAAGCTGCGAGTAGGCACGACGTGATGGTCTTCATGATGTACACGCAGGAGTACGGCGCCCACTGCCCGCAGCCCAACACGCGCCGCGTCTACATCTCCTACGTCGATTCGGTCCGCTATTTCCGCTCCACGCCGGACGGCCACCGCTCGACAGCCTACCGCTCGCTGCTCACGTCGTACTTTGCGTCCTGCCGCCGGCGCGGGCTCGAGCACGGTGCCGTCGAGCCGCGATCGGCTCTTCACGCGCCTTGCTGCCAACAGGCGCGGATTCGAGCACGTGCACGTGTGGGTGGAGCCGCCGCGCGCGGGCGACGAGTACATTTTCTACGCGAGGCCGCCCGAGGAGCGGAGGCCGATGAAGCGCGAGAAGCTGCGCTCGTGGTGCGCCGGGGCGCTCGAGCCGCGAGGCGCGGGCGGCGTGTCCTCACCGGCTTGTTCCCGCTGCGGGCAGGTACGTCAAGGTGCTCGAGGCGTCCAAGGAGCAGGGGGTCGTCGCGCGGTTCGGGTCGATGGTCGAGGCGCGCGAGCTTAGCCGAGGGAGAGCTTAGCCGAGGGAGAGCTTAGCCGAGGGAGAGCTTAGCCGAGGGAGAGCTTAGCCGAGGGAGAGCTTAGCCGAGGGAGAGCTTAGCCGAGGGAGAGCTTAGCCGAGGGAGAGCTTAGCCGAGGGAGAGCTTAGCCGAGGGAGAGCTTAGCCGAGGGAGAGCTTAGCCGAGGGAGAGCTTAGCCGAGGGAGAGCTTAGCCGAGGGAGAGCTTAGCCGAGGGAGAGCTTAGCCGAGGGAGAGCTTGGGAGAGTCGAGACGCGGCCGAGGCACCGCCGAGATACGGACGAGATAGCATCTCGCCGAGAGACGGACCCGAGATACGGACCGATGCTGAGGCCCCGCGGCACCACGCCGGCGCATGCGGCGATCCGGCCACGCTCGCCACGCTCACTGCGGTCCTGTGCACCTGCCCTGCGCAGGAGTTTCGGCACATCAAGTCGGCGCGGCAGATTCCGCTCTTCAAAGGCGGGCCGGAGGGAGCTGCGGTCGGGACCCGTCCAGGACGCGTCCGTGACAGGTCCACGGCCGCCTCACAGGTGACCAGTGGGAGCTCACTTTGCCGGAGATCCTCAAGGGCGATGAGCCCGCGCCGGCGGCGGCAGAGGACGACGAAGACGACACTTTCCGCCGGCCAAAGCTGCTCAGCACCGCGCGGGGCCGGTCTGGCGAGAGCACCGGCAG